CCCACGACACCCAGTGCTCAAGCTGTCTGCGCTTGCAGAAACACACACACACGCAGAAATACACACACACACGCACGCACACACGCACACACACACACACACAGAGATTTAGCCACACGCCAACCACGCCAAGGCCACGAGGTCAACTCTCAGTAAAGGTGTGAACAGTCAGAGAACAGCGCGCAAACCCTGAACACTGCAGAAACAGCACAGTCTGCTCACACACACACACACACACACACGAGGAGAGAGTTTGACAAATGATCACAAAAGCCGAGACACTTTTAAAGTGAGATTCAGAGCTGTGCTCAGCCGTGTGTAACTCAGTTACTCTACACCGAGAGAGACGACTGCTGTGCTGTTCTGGACGGAGCTGGCATGTCTGGTATCATGTAATATATTTATATATACAGTCAGCTCCATAAACATTTAGACATGGACACAATTCCCACACGTATGTCTCTATACAGCAACACAAAGGATTTGATGTGAAATGAAGATGTGTTATACCTGCAGACTGACAGCTTTAATCTGAGCGTGTTTACACCCACATCAGCTGAACACTGGAGGAGTCACAGCAGTCTGCAGATGTGCTTCACACTAGTTAAGGGTCCAAAAGTAATTGGACAATAGTCTTCTCTGCTGTTCCATGGCCAGGTGTGTGTTATTCCAGCATTATCCTGATTACAGTGAGCAGATAAAGGTCCAGAGCTCATCTCTAGTGTGCTGTTAGCATGTGGAATCTGTTACTGTCAACCCTCACGATGAGATCCAAAGAGCTGTCAGCATCAGTCCAGCAGGCCATCATCAGGCCGAAGAACAGAACAAACCCAGAGCGAGAGCAGAACACCAGACACAGCCAAAACAATTGTGTGGAGCGTTCATAAAGAGAGACAGAGCACACCAGTGAGCTCAGCGACACCAACAGACCCGGAAGACCACAGAGACTACAGCGCAGGACGACTGAAGAACTCTCTCTGCTGGAGAACACACCCTCACAACAGTCAGATCAAGAACACTCTCCAGGAGCCAGAAGTGTGTGTGTGTGTGTGTGTGTGTGTGTGTGTGTGTGTGTGTGTGTGTGTGTGTGTGTGTGTGTGTGTGTGTGTGTGGGTGGGTCAGAGTCAAACATCAAGAGAAGACTACACACAGAGCGTTCACCACAAGATGTAAACCATTGGTGATCCTCAAACACAGGAGGCCAGATAAAAGTTCTGTTAAAGTCTTCACAGTGCTGGACCAACATCCTCTGGACAGATGAGGTCTAGATCAACGTGTACCAGAGTGATGGAGGAGGAGAGTATGGAGAGGAGCTGCTCATGACCCTCAGCAGTGCAGCATGGTGGTGGTGGTGGTGGTGGTGTGATGGCGTGGGCATGTGTGGCTGTCAGTGAACTGCTTCTCCTGTGTTTATTGATGATGTGATGCTGACAACAGCAGCAGGATGAGTTCTGGAGAGATTCAGGCAGTATTCTCTGCTCATATTCAGCCAAACGCTTCAGAACTCAGTGAACGGGGCTTCACAGAGCAGATGGAGGATGACCTAAAGCATACTGCAAAAGCAACCAAAGTTTCTGAAGGGAAAGAAGGGGAATGTGGCCAAGCTAATCCCCTGATCTGAACCCGATTGAGCATGCTTCTCACTTGCTGAAGACTAAACTGAAGGGAAATGCCCCAAGAACATGCAGGAGCTGAAGACAGAGCAGTAGAGGTCTGGCAGGGCACCAGCAGGACTGAACCCAGCGTCTGCTCATGTCTCTGAGCTCCACACTTCAGGCTGTAATCGACTGCAGAGGATTTGAACCGAGTATTAAACAGGGAAACACTGAGTTATGATTATTATTCTGTGCAATTATGTTTGGACCCTTAACTAGTGTGAAGCACATCTGCAGACTGCTGTAACTCCTCCAGTGTTCCCCTGATGTGGCGGTAAACACGCTCAGATTAAAGCTGAGTCTGCAGCTAAAGCACACCTGGATCATTTCAAATGCATTGTGTTGCTGTACAGAGACAAACATGTTAGAATTGTGTCCATGTCCAAATATTTATGGACCTGACGATTCATATTAGTAAAGTCAAAATATATAATATATAATAATGCAAATATTTTCAGCTGAAGACAATTTTTGAGCTTCTTGTGAAACTGTAATCCCTTTTCTGAATATTACTGGTGTTTAACAGAGCAAGGACTTTTCACTCTATTTCCTGTTTATTATACGTAGTTTTAGTTTTTCCCTAGATAAGGTCACATTTCTTTTAGACTAGAATAAAGAGTTATTTTAAAATGTAAAGCTATTTTAATTTAATTTCTTGATTAAATTGTAATCAAATGAAATGTAAAATGTAAAACCACTGATATACAATGACTTGCCTAATTACCCTAACTTTACCCTAATTACCCTAGTGAAGCCTTTACATGTCACTGTAAGCTGAACACTAGTGTCTTGAAGAATATCTAGTCTAATATTATGTGCTGTCATCATGATGAAGAGGAACACATCAGCTATTAGAGATGAGTAATGAACACTCCTGTATTTAACGGTGTCTCTCTGTATAAACTGCACTTGTGGAAATACTCTAAACAGAATCATTTCAGAGGAAGGATGGTTGTGTTGCCGTCAGCTCTGAAAGTGTACTTCTATAAAAGCATGCCTTTCAGAATAGTGTAAGACTCTCTCTCCTCTATTTCTGGACTGATGAAGAGTAGGAGGCATGAGAATGAAGATCAACACTCTTCAGCAATCTACATTCTGCATGTGCATTACTCAGAGTTCATTTATTTAGGAGAGATCCTGAATAAGTGACGTTCTACAGCAGGACATCTCCTCATCACACACAAACACACCTGCACTCTCAGACGAACAGGAACATCACTGAGGACACAAAGCAGCTGGCCATGGCTGTTCTGTATCCTCCTGGAGACGCATTACTGTACTGGTTTATTTAAAGTGTTCTGCTTCACTCACATTACTGATAAATGCAAAATAAAACAAGTCAATATATGACACTAGTGTTTAGAGGATGCTCCGTCCTGCTTCAGCGTGCAGCCGTGCGCTGATGTTACTGTTATAATTATCTCCGCTATTAATCTGCATGTGAACGCCTCTAAAAGTAGTTCTGTGGGTCGAGAGACGTCATTATCCACCGTGCTCAGAGTTATTTATAAGCACAAGCGTTCCTCAAACTGTCGTCTGTGTATTAATGTTCCAGCGCCCGTTTAAAGCCCATAATGCAATTAAAGCAGCGAGAGCGAAGCGCAGCACTAATGAGCGAGTGATCATCAACACACAAACACAAGAACCGCTCTGGCCGGAGACATTCATCATAACCACACTCTTTATTATCCTCACCGCGGAGAAATCTGGATATGCGCACAGTGGAGAAGATCACACTGCTCTGACATTATGACACACACACACACACACACACACACACACACACACACACACACGAGTGTCAGAGTTAGCAGGTTCTGTAGCGTATGATCTGAAACACAAACGCATGATGCTGAATGTGGACTTCTCGGACAGTTTCAGTGTTCTGCGGATGATTCCTGGGGCGAGGATCTAAAGCTGCTCTCATTAAGCACACAGTAGGGGAACTGATATTATTAGCATGTGTGAAAACCCAACAGACATAGAAGCGTTTAGCGGTGCGTTTGCCTTGGGCTGGTCCAGAATCAGAAGAAGGAGGTGTCGGAGGAGAAGGCGCCGGCCAGCCTGAACTCGTCCCGCATCAGCACACAGAAGAGTCTCTGCGGTAGGGCTTTAGAGTACGGTGCGGGACGGGGAACGCAGGTGCGCAGGAGGATCTCCCGGCCAGCAGGGGGCGGAAAATCTGGAAAGGCTTTTCTGTCATCAGACCCTCCAGAACGAAGCGTTTCCTCCTCCATGGGAGCCAGCAGAGCAGCCTGAACACAACAGAACACACACCAGTCAACAACAACAACCCAAAGCTGATATACACACATTACCAGTCAAATGCTTCACCACTGAGGAATTTAGCATACTGAACTAAATATACTGCAATCTGCATTGTTTATGCATGATAATACGATATATTTTACTTTGATCTGATCACAAATGGTACATATGAAGCTGATACCAAAACGATTCGATACATTAAAGATACATATACCGAAATGATATGATACATTAAAGATACATATGAAGCTGATACCGAAACAATATGATACATATGAAGCTGATACGATACTAAAACGATACGATCCATTAAAGATGCGTAACTCAAATACAGAAACGATGCGATACATTAAAGATGCATATAAAGCAAATACCGAAATACCGAATTGATATGATACATATGAAGCTGATACCAAAACAATACGATCCATTAAAGAGGCATATAAAGCAGATACCAAACGATACGATACATTAAAGATACATATAAAGCAAAATACCGAAACAATATGATACATATGAAGCTGATACCGAAACGATACGATCCATTAAAGATACATTTAAAGCAGATAGCGAAATTATATGATCCATTAAAGTAACATATGAAGCAGATACCAAAACGATACGATCCATTAGATACATATAAAAGCAAATAGAGAAACGATATGATACATATGAAGCTGATACCGAAACGATACGATCCATTAATGATACATATAAAGCAGATAGCGAAATGATACATTAAAGAAACATAAGAAGCTGATAATGAAACTATACGATACATTAAAGATACATAAAGCAGATAACGAAACGATATACATTAGGGATACATATAAAGCAGATACCAAAATGATATGATATATTAATGATACATATGAAGCTGATACCCTAATACAAATCAATACGATACAATAAAGACACTTATGACGCTGATACAAGATACGATATATTAACGATAGATATGAAGATACCTAAAAGATACATTAAACACACCGACACAATACAATAAAGATACCGTAATGATATGATACATTAAATATACATATAAAGATATCAAAATGTTACAATAAATAAAACATACATATGAAGCTGATACAAAAACGATACAACTTTAGATATACATATGAAGCAGATACCGAAATGATAAATACATTAAAGAAACGCATGAAGATGGCAAAAAGATACAATAAAAGGTACCTATTAAGATACTGAAACTATACAATAAAGATACCGGAACGATACATTATAGATAGCCATAAAGCTAATCCGAAATGATACGATACATTAAAGCTACATATAAAGTATAGAGCAAGACTTTATGATACATCAACTATGCATGAAGTGCACAGCTGTGATCTGACCAACTCAAACACATCCTAATACCAGTGTAAATGAGGACTAGTTTCCTTTTAGAGCTGCTGGAGGGAACTAGCGAATAAGTGTGACTTAACATGTTCTAGGAGCTAGTTTACAGAATCAACCCCACCACATAAACATGCTTGTCTTGAGCAGAGAGAGACGCTTCTCAATAAGGACGCAGGAGTGAAGCAACTGGACACAATCTAGTCTTCCACACAGGAACACATTCCATTAATTGCAGAGCTGATAGCAAATTAGTGACTGTCTGTTCACATCCCAGAGACTGAACACGGCTGAGAGGAGATGCTCGGTGGATTCAGATCACACTACAGCAGGACATCACTCCTCATGACGGCAGTAGAACTACACAGGGCTATCACAGGGAGATTACAGTGGAAGAACACCACGCTTCTCGAAGTGTGTGAGGCAGAGGGCACAGGCACTACAGGGTGTGGAGGAGGGGGCATCAGCAACACATGTAAAGATACAAGTAAACAGTGAAGGAACATAGCTGCAGTCTTGTCCACCTGTTGACTGTGAGACCGGGCTATTGATACTAGAACTGACTACTGCAGCTCTGCACATGAACGTTGACCAGAGGAGAAATGGTGGTGCCCAGCTGAGCCCGGTTTCTCTCCAAAATTCTCTCCTTCACTTTGGTCAATTGATGAGTCTTTAGTCTGAGCTGTCCTCATCAAATCAGTCAACATCAAGACATGATCAGAGTTTATTGAGCTCAAATCAGCAAAATCTAGAGGCCTTCACCTTTCATTGAGACACTTCTGACACCAAATCAACAACTAGAAGTCCGGGTATTATATGTTGCTCCTAAAACTTGGATAGGACACCACACTTTTGTCAGGTAGTGTGTGTTGTTCAGTTTTGCTACAGCTTTACTTCATTGACAAGTGACGTAACTGCTGTTATTATCACATTATCTCCACGTCATTACAGATTAAACTGGATTTTAATTAAAACCTTTTTCGCAGAGCTCTGTGTAGAAAACTCTACTCAATATAGATGAACGCACTAGAGGTTTACTACAGTTCTCATGATCTACAGACACGAACAGCAGTGACTGCCGCTGCTATAGAAGAGAATGCATTATCAGACTTTCCAGCACATTAAAAGTGTGGCCAATTACACATCTGCATCGCTCACACTACACTATATCAGATGCTATTTGTTATCATCTTCTGTAGCACTATAGTAGAGTGTTCTAAGGAAATAATGTGTGCATGTTAGCCCAACATCACATTGCTGTCATTTTAATCCAGATCACACTACTGCAGGAGCAATATCTGTTCATTCAGTCATTTTCCTTCAGCTTTGTCCCTTTATTCATCAGGGGTCGCCACAGCGGAATGAACCGCCAACTATTCCAGCATATGCTTCACACAGCGGATGCCCTTCCAGCTGCAACCCAGTACTGGGAAACATATTTGTTTATGTCAATAGTGAATTAGCATGACACATTTAGTAACAAAATATTCTGAAAGCAACACAACTACATTTTAAAGCAGTTTCTAGCACTTGATCCAAAATCTAAACACTTTTCAGACCTTGAAAACACTACATTATGATTACAGCATTTCCTGCATCAGCCCTGAAGAGAAGGAAGCAGCCATGGACTATTCCAAAAATACCACGTCCAGTCGAACACCTATTTATCTCAGCATATACATCAACATTCTACTTCATACATAGATTTCACTTAAAATACAAAAGCTCAGATTACCAATGAGTAAAATCAGAGTGTTTCAGAGTGAGCGAGTGATCAGACTGTGTTTTACATGTATAAAGGGGGTGTCGAGGAAGAGAGTTTGAGAAGCACTGCAGTTGCTGGAGCTGCACAATAATGGGAAAACAGGCCATCATGTGGCTGAGTGTAGCGGTAACGATATTTCTCACACTTTAATAACTTCATAAACACTATAGCTGCATGCCAAATGACACACAGTTCACTATGCATACCATCAACTGTGTAGAGTTTAGTGTCGTCTCAAATGGAGCAGTTTTACTAATGATTTAGCTTTCACAATTCAAAACAAATCAAATAATCCAACCTCAGAGTCTGACAGCCCCGTCCCTTCAGCTACACGAGTAAAGCTGCGAGCGCTGAGTGTGTGTGTAGTGTTCAACATTACACACTTATTTTCATCAGCTGAATAAGTGCATCCTTCTGTTTACAGTGTTCAGAGTGAATGCAGCACTTGCTCTATTTACACTACAAAATAAGGTAGAATAGTGCATACATGTGATTTGGGACGCCCCTCACTTTATCAGGAATTTAAAAAGTATTTATATTTGTAGAGATCATACTAAAATGCACAGGTCATGTGTACTTTTCTGAGCTAATCTAGGGCCCTATCATACACCCGGCACAATGCGGCGCAAGGCATTTAGTCAGTTTGACGTTTAGCAGCACGCTGTTTAAATAGAAATGCATTTGTGCTCATGTGTGCGCCCATAGGGGTTCTGGTCTAAAAAAGGAGGTGTGTTGAGGCGCACTGCTGGCGTGTTGCTATTTTGAGGAACTATAATAGACTGAGCTATCTAAAGTCCAGCGCAGAGCGTGTTAGTCATGCGCCTCGCTTTAACATTGCTTAATACACACAGGATGATCAGCAATACACCAATATCTTTACAGATGAAAAATAATTAAAGGATTAAAAACATACAAATATTTATATTTTCTAGCCTACATAAATATAAACACCAGCGCCTCCATGCCTTCTTCATCTCGGGGGGTTTCTTCAGTTTATTCATGACAATTTGCTTTCGTATATTGTGATTATTAGTAGTAGTGTTCTTTATTATTAGACATTTGTCCACCTGTCAGGTCTCAGGCCGTATGGGGCACAGCATGTGTATTTGGATATAACTTAGAATTTAGAAATAGTTTTGACACAAATCTTTGTGCTTAAAAAATGAAATTAATTATGTATAGACTAATGGATGTCTGTGCATACAACACGTTTCCTTATCCACGAGAGTGAAAGTGAATAGTGAGGAGGCTCATCTCTCGTTCTCGCGCTGCAGATGCTCTGTTTAACTGTGTTTTAACTCAGTTTTTACACTTACAAAGTCATCATGGAAAGAGCAAATGCGCTATGGCACGACGCAACTGACTCTTAAAGGGAATGGGAGACGAGACTCTGATTGGTTTATTCTCAAAACACACCTATAACTCAATAAAAGAATAAGCTCAACCCTGTTAGACCATGCGCCACGGTGCAAAGTGGATGTTTTCATCCTTAAAATATCAAAAGTGGATTCTGACACGCCCTGAATGCTTTACGCCCGGATCATCAAAATAGAGCCCCATAGACTTTAAAGCTGCTCTGTGTCAGTGTTGGACTCTTCTGCATCATATAAACAGCATCATCTGTGTGCAGATATTCAGAAACATGCTCAGTGAACACTCCTGTTTATCTGAGACACAAGTCAGATATTCTGCTGTCAACATGTGTGTTATGTGCCGGAGCAGCTGTCTGAGTTTTGCTCTCTTTAACCCGCCCAATGCCAGTTTAGCCAATTATATTCCAGCACCGGGTTGCCAGATGGTGGAAAACAGCGTATTTCATTCATTCAGTCAGGAAGACTCTCACAGTGTGCGTCTGTGACTGAAATG